ATATCTCGCCAATGTAGTATAGTCATCCTTATATTGTATTATCATATTGCTCTTTTGAACCAATCTTAGGAAGAAATCCTACATCTCTTATCTAGTTTATGAAGTTGCAAGTCAATCTATAATAGTATTAGTAAATTTCTCCCGATAAATTTCAACATTCAGCTTTCCTTAAAACTTCTCACTCTATTGGTCTATCCACCAACACTCAGCTTAACCATCAACTAGAAACACCGCCGGATGTATCTTACAATTCTCTGAGTACTACATGCTATTAAGGAACTACTATAGTCACAATAGCTGATGCTCAGTGATCTCGACTTAATGCTTATGCACAGTATAACAATAGTTCTGATGATATTTTTCACTTATATTTCTTTATTTTGCAACAAAACCAAAAACTTAATCCAGAAGAAAAATAAGAATTTAACTTTTTAATTTATATATATTTATATTGGGATACTACACAAGTATATGTATCGTTATCAAGTAATATAGGACTTTTTGATTAAGACCTGAATATCGAACCCACAGGGAAGATTATTCAATATGCATTTTTTAGAATGTTTTTATTTTATTTTTAAAAAAGATAATTACTTAAACTAAAAACGATTTTTGTAGGAATTTAAAACTTAAATATTTTTGGTATTTTTCATATTTAAATGAAACAATAACAACTTAAAAAGATAACTAAATTTTTGTAGAAGAAAAGTACTTTGTATGAAAATATTTTTCTTCTTGTCATGAATCAATAATAAGTATAGGAATTCTGTTGTGGAAGTATGCAAATTGTGTTGTGCCAAATATGAGCAATAATATTCTTTACCCTTACTAGAGATGCTATAAAGAACATTGTCTAATTTAAAGTTTGAATAGTTCTGAAGTCTAGTTAGGTAGGGAAGATACTAGCTCACACTCTAGACTTCCCTCTTCTCCCTCCACCTGGGGGCTAACATCTTCTATCAAAACCTAAAACTACAAAGAAAATTGGGGGCTTTAGTCTGTCACTCTAAAGTATGTGATTCTTTCCAATTGTTGACTGAGATAATACCAGCCCGGTTCTTACATGTTCTCCCAAAAAATTTTAACATCTGGATTGGCCAAATTAAGAAATAAATGAAGTGCACGGATTTAAATCATCACAACTTCTTCCATCATTAAAGATCAATATATTCACAACTTCCATCCAAAACTAAATTACTTATCATTTTAAGAAGAAAGATAAATAAAAATACTTAGAATTTATGGAGAAAACAAAACCACACTTTAGTTTAAAAGAAGAAATCATTGTCAAACCAATAACAAGTCTCGATTAAAATCAAAAGTACTCTAAAACAAAAGATAAAAACTTATCTCAAGTCCTCCACCAAACTCTTGAAGTTCCTTTAAATCTCTTCTCTTTCATAGTCACTTAAAACAAAATAACAAAAAGATAAAGTAAATAAAAAATGGTTCCTGAAAAATCTCTCCAAAACTAACTCCCACTGACATAGTTCTACGTGAGGCGCAGGGTATTCCTGAGTTATTTTCAGGTTATTTCTGGGTTATTTTCAATAACCCGAATTTTATAGTTTTCTAAGAGATGTCTTGAGATCTCTTCAAAATGTGTCTTCATTCGATGTATTTGCTCAAGAGATGCATCCTTTCATGAAAATTTTCATCCATGGTGGTTACCACCATTTTCCATGATAATTTTCGTCCATAGTGGTTACAACCACCTATTAAGTCAATGGGTGTCTCAAAAACCTCTGTGAAATTCGTGACAATTGATTTTACTCATATAGTAACTG